GACTGGGATAATTGGGATGGGAGTGTCAGAGACAGTGTGATTGGCACAGGACAGAGTGGAGTTTAGGGCTGTTGTACATAGGATCGCTATGAGTCGCAGGCGACTCGACGGCACATAACAACAACAACAACAGCATTCCACTTATAGCCTTGGAAACCCACTGGAGGGTCAGCTACAAGTTGGTTCTGATTCAATGGCACTGAGTTTAACATATTCCAAAAGGATGTTGATATTACTGGTCAGGAACAATAACCAAAGGTGATGAATGTCACACCGCAAGGAAACTCCCTTTACATGGGCTCAGGGTTGTGACCTGAATAAGCACGTTGCATCCAAGACTAATATTCTTTTTTTTTTTTTTTTAAGTAAAAGCAAAAGAAGTTTATTGAGTGAAGTGATTCAGACCTCAACAACTAGTTGGCTGATCACATCATGAGAATGTTATATCCTTGCTAAGTTACATTATTACATAACTGGAAAAGCACTGATAATCATGCTGTTTTGTGTGCCATCGAGTCAACTTGTGATTCATAGCAATCCTACATAGAACAGCTCTGAAGCCTGCTCTATCTTGAGCCAACCTCATTGTCTCTGACATACCTACTCTCATTACCCCAGACACTGAGTCAATCAATCTCATCCAGGGTCTTCCTGTCTCTGAAGACCGATACCTCCTTTCAACATGCCCAAAGTATGGCAGACGAAGCTTCAAAATCCTGCCTACAAGGAGCATCTTGCTTTCAGCCTCTCTAGGATTAACCTGTTTGTTCCCCTAGCTGTCCATGGTATATTCAATACTCCAGCACCACAACTGGAAGGCATCAATTCTTCTGTCATCCTTAGCCATTGGTTCAGCTTTCTGATGCATAGCAAGTAATTGCAAAAATCATGGCCTGGATCAGGCGCATCTTAATCTCTAGACTGACATCATTGCTCTTCAATATTCTGGAGAGGTCTCTGACAGCAGATTTTCCCAGTGCAATTAGTCTTTTGATTTGCTGGCTGCTAGTACCAAGAGTGTTGATTGTGGAGTCATGCAATCTGAAGCTGTTAACAGTCTCAATCTCTTCACTGTTTATTATGATGCTGCCAATTGACCGAGTGGTGAGAACTTTCATTTGGCAGGGTACAATTCAATGTGTAACACAAAGGGTAACTTTTATCAATATACTTGGAAATCACCTAGAGCTAGAAATCAACCTTTTTGCCAGAGATATTTTACATTTAAATTTAGTATTTTCTTAACCATATTTGTTTTCAAACTTTTTCATATTAATAGAAACTTTAAAATAAAAAGCTTGAGAAATGATTTTCCTTAAGATGCTCTTATAATTTCTCTTTAAAGTGAAAATTAATTTTAGAAGAAAATAAATAAAAGAAGAAAGAATTAGTGTAGCTGGTCTTCCTGGTACCTACCAACTTTAACTGGAAAACAATTAACGTCATGTTTTGCATTTTATATTTATTAAATAGAAGTGTGCCTTGAGGTAAAACCGTAATAGGCTGAATTTTACAATTTGAAAAGCCACCTGGTGTTCACTCCGGAGCTACCGGGCCAGCTTAGAATTGTTCTCATTAATCCATCTAACACCAGCTGCTATAAGCCCCCCATCTCTTCCGTTCTTGTTATTGATCAATCAAAACTGCTCAGCCTCATGGTTTCCTTATTACACCCATATTTCAACCCCAGTGCCATTTTTAAGACCAAAAATTGTGGGGACTGCTGATCAAAAATTAAGTTCTTGCGTGGTTAAAAGAAAATCCTGCTCCTTCTACTGGCCTCCCTTTCCCATGTTTAATATACTGCCATGGTTACAGGTGAAATCCAGTTCCTTTGATAGGAAGGGAAAATGAGTGGGTTAAGAGGAGAGTTAGGAATAAAGGCGGCAATCTATTCAGACACAGGCTAAACGTGCAGGTGCCAAAACTAAGAAGAGATTTATTCATTGCACAGTCCATTTACGTCACGCTGGTGGGCAAATCACTATTCTGGGCCCTTAGAAAGCTTTGCTGCTCTTGCTATAATTAGCTGAAGGGTGGGGGTGGGGTGGGGGGAAAGCCTTAAATCATCCAGGTTTCACCTGCTGTGTTCAAGGCGCTCAGACACTTGCCACCCTGCCAGCCCCCTGTAACACTTAGGGGCGGGGCCTCAGACCTCACCCGCCGGCCAAGACGCAAGAGCCGTAAACTGTGCGTAAAAGAGCGGAAGAAGCTCGCTTGGTGACCCGGAAGCAGTCGCTACAACTTCCGAAAGGGGTTTACTGCCTTGGTGTGCGAGTTGCTGTGTAAGGAGATTGTACTTGAAGTTGTAGAGGGTGTACCAGCATGTCCCGTGGTTCCAGCGCCGGTTTTGACCGCCACATTACTATTTTTTCACCCGAGGGCCGCCTCTACCAAGTAGGTGAGTGAACCAGGTCCACGGGTGATCCACCCTAATTGCTCTGTCATGGTGCGGCCTGGAGCAGGCGGATCAGCCCCGGGTCTGCTGCAGAACTGAAACTGGCCTTGCTTGATTCAGGAAAGAAGGACCAGGGCGGAACTGAGACCCCTGCTGTTCTCACCGTGGTCTGGAGACAAAGATCGAAGATTAAAATACTGAAGATCCAGTTCTCATTAGGGCGAGCCGCCTCTCTGTTCGGGAAGTAGGACCTCTGTGCCAGACCCTGCTTTCCTGACGCCCCTTTAACGTTGTTCCGTGCCTGCCTGGCTAGGCCCAGGGTCTGTTTTCCTGTAAAGAATAATTAGTTCCTTAATGCCACTCTCCATCATGGGTTTCCTTGTCCTTTGGCTAATTCCACATTCAGAGTTTACTGTGCCCCAAGAACTGTATTGCTCTTATAACAGATAAGAATGTCACACTTCTTGTTATACTGAGGCTTATGATTTAAAGGGAAGATTGATTAAATGAATGATTAAACAAAAAAAAATAATTCAAACTACCTGCAGAGTTTAGTACGTCTTTGGAAAACTGGTAGATCAGAATGAGTGGTCCTCAATTCCAGACCTGATCTTGAAATTTCCATCCCCTGTTAATGCTAGTCTCTGAAAGTTCTTGTAGTTTAAAGGCTGATTCTGCGTTATAGATGAAATATGGTTTAATCTAGCTGTTGACTGAAGCTTGGTTTTAATGAAAATAAACTTCAAGGTATTACTTAGTATAACTATTTTATGAGGTTGAAATAATGTCACACTTTAGGTTATGATTGTAAAGTAGAACCTTGAATTCTAACTAGAGAGAGTTTGGTTTTAGGGGATTCTGATTTACCATCTAGCCCATACTAGTTTCATTTATGAATGAGTGTTAGCACCTCATTGCTTTGGTGAAATCAGTAATGCTTTATTTGAATTGAGGAATTCCGAGGAGACTATTGGTCTATAAATGGAATGTTGTTCACTTATAAATTTTTTAAATAGATTTGGCATGACAAGTACTCGACAGTATAGCTACATACTGTATATAGTGTAGCCAGAAATAACTATTCTGGCTTGTTCTAAAAATCATATTGTAACTAAGTAACACTTTTAAGTTATTATCCGGAACTGAAAAATATGATCACAGATAGGAGAGATAACTGTGTATCCTTGAGAAGTTTCGTTCCTGAGTGTAGACTTTTTTTTTTACACTTTGAGCTGCTGCTGCTTTGTGTGTTCTAGTTCCTAGGTTTTTTTATAATATGAGTAGGACAATGGAAAGTGGTATCATAGTTTAAAAAGATTTGCAGGAGAACATGTAATTCATAACAAGCTTAATATCTATATAGAATGGTTTTAAGATCTCCTTTGTTGAGTAACTGATTTCCTGCTGTTTAGAGCACTAATTGAGCATCGTTAGGAAAAGAAAGTGAAAGAGTAGTCAATGTGAGCAAGCATTATAGAGTGAAGAGTTCAGGCTCTGGAACATAACTGGATTCAAATCTTTTTTACTGCATACTGGCAGCCCTGGAGCAAATTATGCAAGCTTAGCCTTAGTTTTGTTTGCAAAGTTGATCTTTTAAGCTCTTCTATGGCATGGTGGCCTAGTGGCAAGAAACTGCATTGCAATCTCAAAGGCACATGGTTCTAATCCACAGATACTCTGCAGGAGGATTGGAAAGTATCCTGTGTGATTTACAGCCTCTGAAAACCCTCTGGAGGATCAGCTATGAGTCTGTTCCAACTTGACAGCAAACGACAACGTGGGGTTATTGAGTAATGTGATGGATGTAGCGTGCTTAGTGACCTTTACATACTAAAATTCTTACCACATTGAGTTGTTTCCAACTTATAGTGACCCTCCTTCCAGGTTTCTGTAGCTGTACTTTTTTTTTCTTCTTCTTTCTTTTTTGTGTGCCATCAAATCAGATCCGACTGACACAGGAGGACTTTCCCCCTCCTCCGGCAGAATATCTGGTGGATTTGAACTGCGCACCTTTGAGATTACAGCACAGCTTCCTGCCACTGGGCCATCACAGCTGTAGCTGTAAATCTTAAAGGGAGGAGACTGCTCATCTTTCTCCCTGAGAGCCATAAATGGGTTCCCACCACCAGAGAAGTGCAGCCTTTTGGTTAGCTGAGTAACATGGTACAGGACTATGCCATCAGAATACCTATGTCATGTATTAGTGCTCATTCTTGGAAAAGTGAAGGGTCTGTGAAAAAGGAAGACTCTCAGCTAGATGACTTGGCACTGTGAGTGCAGCCTGGTAGAGATTATAAGGATGGCGCAGGATAGGGCAGGGTTTTAATTTGTTCACAGAGTCACTTGATGGCACCTAACAAGTGCTTAATAGATGTTATTGAGTGCCTGTTTGATTTTTGGGGTCATTTTTTGGTCTATATTAGATTAGTAGTTCTGTCTCTTTCATACCAACTCATAGTAAACTTCTAGCAGGTTCTCAGAGGCAAATTGCACAGGAGGAGATTACTCATCTCTCTCCCTGAGAACTGATGATGCATTTGAACCACTAGAGAGGTGCTACACCTTAGGATAACGACATGACTCCCTACCCAGTAAGCCACCAGAGCTCTATAGCTCTGTAGACATAGGATATTTCCATTTCTATGGACCCATTCCTGTTTGATTTTCTAGTAAAATATAGATAACATAATAATATTGTAGATACTGTTTATTCATAAATTTTAGTATCAGTAGATAGAATACTGAATTATAGAGTGCAACTTGTTAACCCTGAGAGTGGAAAATAATATAACAATTGAAAGGTGAGGGAAGGAATGGTTAATGGAAAAGTAAATAAGCTCCTAATCTTCCATAGGTGGGCCATAAAAAAAAATGTAATCTAAAGATGTCAGATAAAAAATGAGTTAAGAAAAAAGTAGAAGTTTAAAGTTACAATGTTTACGGTAATTATAAACAAACTTTTGATGGTGTTTGCTCCCAAGAAGTGAGGAAAAAGACTTTCTCTTTTAATTTTATATCCTTTGTTAGCTATTGAAAACTTTCTTTTATGTGTATGTAATGTGTATGCTTATGTTTTAAGAAAACTTTTGTAGATGGGACCTCTGGTGGCCTAGTGGCAAGAAGCTGCACTGCAGTCCTGAAAGCATGCGGTTTGAATCCACCAGATGTTCCACTGGAGAAGGAAGGGCAATCTCCTTCTGTGCCAGTTGGATTGAATTTGATGGTACACCACCAAAAAAACCCAAAAAACAAAAACCAAACTAAGAAAACTTTTGTAGAACAGAAGACCTAGTTTGCATTTTCCACGTTGCCAGTGAGGAAATTGATGCTCTTGTGGGTGCACAGAGCAGATTAAGCCGGTCTAGTTTCAGGCTCCACTCTACTGCTTGCTGTCCCTTTGTTGGATAGTCTGGCAAAGGGAGGAAAGAAACAGTGACTTGGATTTGCCTTTCAAGTGCCTGTGAGCATGTGTATAGCAAACAGGAAAGAAATTAATGGAGACAAACAGGAGAGGGTAGTTTTCCAAATAGAAATAGCATCATGTACAGACTTTGGTTTTGTTGCAAGGACTGACCAGTCCTTGGAGAGGGACATTCTGCTTGGGAGGGTAGAGGGAACAGTGCAAAAGAGGAATAACCTCGATAAGATGGATTTATTCAGTAAGAGGGATAATAGAGGTAGTTAAGTATGTCAGAGACAGTAAGTTTGGAACAGGATAGAGCAGGGTTTAGAGCTGTTGTACATAGGGTCACTATGAGTCCCAAGTGACTCGACAGCACCTAACAACAACCATAGAGAGATCTTTGTAATTAATCAGTTAGTAGAAAGCACTTAGGATAGTGCCTGGCATAGTAAGTAGTAAGTGTTGAGTAAATGATTCTGTGAGGGATACTATCAAGGAAAAAGAAATAATTGATGTAGAGTTAGGAAATGGGCTCAGGAATGGTGTTACCATTAAGGATGTTTTCAAAGAACAAACTTAGAATGCTGCCTTAAATCTCATTTGAAATTCTATATAATAGCTGCACCAGAACAGTAATGAGACCAAGCACTGCTGTTTTAATATTTGTATCTCCCGCAGTCACTGTATGTGTTCAGTTGCATAAACCCCCCCCCCCCCTCCCCCAAGATTTTTAATGATCTTAATCCCTTGATGCATGGTTTAAAATCAGGAACAGTGTCCATCAGGGATGTATCCTTTTTCTGTACTTAATCAAATAATTATTGAAGGTGGACTCTGTGAAGAGGAATGTGACATCAGGATCTGAGGAAGAATCATCACTAATCTATGTTATGCAGATGCTACAACTTTGCTTGCTGATAGGGAAGAATTAAGACACTTGCTGCAGAAGATCAAGTAACTACAGCCTTTGGTATGAATTACATCTCAACCTTAAGAAAACAAAGGTCCTCACCCCACGACCAAAAGACAACATCATGATAGATGGAAAAAGGATTGAAGCTGTCAGTGATTTCGTCTTACTTGGGTCAACAGTTATCACCCTCGGAACCAGCTGTCAGGAGATCAGGAGACGTATTGCAATGGGCAAGTCCACTGTCAGGGACCTCTCCAAAATACTTAATGATGTCTGCTTGAAGACTAAGGTGTGACTGATTCAGGCCATGGTCTTTCCAGACACCTGCTACACATCTGAGAGCTGGACAAAATGTGTTGGTTTTGAGTTGTGGTGTTGGAGAATGGTACTGAGCATTCCGTGGGCTGCCAAAAGAACAAACAGATAGGTCTTGAAAAAAATGCCACCAGAGTGCTCCTTGGAGACAAAGATGACGAAGCTCCATCTCATAAATCTACTTGTTTCTAGGAGAGGCTATTCCATGGAAAGAGACATCATGCTTGGAAAGATGGAAGGTCAGTAAGAGACGAAAATCTTCAATGAAATGGATTGACACAGTGACTGTGGCAAATGGGCTCAAGTGTGTCAGATGGTGAGGATGGCACACAGTAGGACAGGGTTCAAGCCTGTTGTTCATAGAGTTGCTATGAGTTGGACTAGACTGGATGGCACCTAACATCAACTCCTAAAGTATCA